TAATCATTTTTGATTTAATATTAGACCTATTTGGATATGAATTTAGTAAGACTGCAGTAAGAGACTGCATTAATTAGAAATTAATCTTTCAAAAATAATAAAAATAAAGAATAATATTCTATTTATTGAAATTATTGCTCCGATTGATGAAATTAAATTTCAACAATAATAAGAATCAGGATAATCTGAATATCGTCGAGGTATAGATATCAATCCTAAAAAGTGTTGAGGAAAAAAAGTTATATTTACACCAATAAATGTTATAATAAATTGAATTTTTAATCATTTTTGATTTAATATTAGACCTGTAATTATTGGATATCAATGAATAAATCTAGTAATAATAGCAAAAACTGCTCCTATAGATAATACATAATGAAAATGACCTACTACATACTCGTGTAATTCTTTTTAGTTGTTGCAAATGTTGAACGAAATATGAAACGATATTGGGAAATATTTTAGAACGTAACGCTTCGTGTTAGAATCATCGAAAGAAACGATCGAACAACCTCTTTGAAGATGTTTATACGCGTCTCAGAGATGCTTATATTATATCCAAATGAAACATCCAAAATAGACTAATTGTAATATTCAGAAGCTAAGTCGAGTGGCATCGTTACTGAAATTCATCTGAATCCACGCTAGTTAAATCTCGTTATATTCTATCATAATTACATAAAACTTGTCTTACAAATGCAGATTACAGATAAAACTTGCCTATAAACGCAAGATTTATCGCGATCGTATAAAATTCTCTGCGGTCTGCTTAAATTTCCATTTCGTTAAAACGAAGAATTTCATCGAACGAAAAAAAGAAAAAAGAAAGCTTTCGTCTGATCCAAACTGCTATACAGCTTCCGAATCGGCCGCGTTAAAAGACGCTACGCGAGCGAAAAAGCTTGCTGCCGATCGGCTACGCGATGATTACCTCGAACCTTCGAAATCGAGTAATAAAAACCGAGATATGAACTTTCGGCAGTCACAGGCCTCGGAGGTTCGATCGCTTAATGAACAGTTATATGGTAGCGGTCGGTTGGAAGACAAAGTGCCATGAGAGATAGCGTGATACATGCTGGTGTTTGGCCAAGGCGGATGAAGAGAGACAAGGTGAAAGAGAAGAGTGGCCGACGGCCAAAGGCGGCACTTTCACTCGACAGTGTGTCGAGGATGTGCATGCTCATGAACTTGCTACGCGGCTTCGTTTGCTGTGGCGAATGTAGAAGCTCGATCACGGCGCATGCAACTCGAGTTTTGTCACGTGCAAGCCCTGGATATCCGTTTGATGTAACCAGACGCATTTGTGACCGCATTTTCGTCGGATCACTTGAAAAGCGAAACTCCACTCGGGGAAGATCGCAAGATTCGGTTAATTAGTCGTCGTCTGATCAATCGGGAGGTTGAGACATCTGATAGAGCGGAGTGTGGGTTTTTTAACGACAAGCGTTCGAACGTTCGTTTTATAGCGACGAGACGGACGACGGAAAGGAGAGGTTTTTTGCTCGAACATAATGACAAAATTCGGTTAAAAAGTAAGATCGTTCGCATAAGAGAG